GGAGATGCTGCTGTGTGGAGCTGGGGGATGTGGAATAATGAACATGGATAAGTGTCGCTGGGATCCCTAACCTTCAGGTCTCTTGGCTCTCCTTGGCTCTTCTGGAGGGATTTGCTGGGGCAGTGGGTGGTTCAGCAAACTCAGGCCCACCTTCCAAAGGATGTTGTCTGTGGAGAGAGGCTGCCTCTCCTCTCTAGGCAGACCTGGAGGCTGTACACTGGAGGGAGAGCACTGGCTACCCGCATCATCCTTACTTGGCCTCCTCTTGGATCTGGAGGCTTCTGGGAGGGTTGTGCATCAGCGTGCTGGCAGAAGCAGACCTGAGGTAGATGGAATGGGTAGGGGTAGTGGCACCCTTTCTTACCCCCTATAGTGCCTACATGGGTGGGCTGGGCACCTGCTCCTTGTGGGGGTTGACTGCCAGGGGGCCTCAAGGAGCCAAGAGTGCAGTGGCCCTGCTGTCTCTGCTGGGGTCTGCAGTTCCTCTGGGAGATGTTGGCTGGACTGGGGGCACCCCAAGCTTAGAGCTTGCCCCTGGGAGGCATGGCCACTCCAATTTTGAACCATTCCCTCTTTTCCATCTCCCGTCACTCTTCCCTCTCCCGTTGAACTTTGAGTCCCTCACACACAGGACCCTTTTCTCCCCAGTGCATAGTGGAGTGGGTCCAAGGCCTGCTGGACCGAGCTGCTTCAGAGGGGAAACACGCCTCCCAGTGCTTGTCCTCAAGCATCAACACTGGTCCCTTAAGTTCCTGCCACCTGGAATGTGGAATCTGCACGTGCTCTTTCTCTGTGTGTGTGGGTGTGGGTGGGTGGGTGGTATGTCTAGGAGTGGGGTTTTCTTTGCCTTGCCTGAACAGAGGGTTTGGGGAGCACTCGGGGCTTCTTTCCACCAGGGTATAGCATAGGGACTGCCTCTTCCACTTATTTACCTGGTTCTTTTGAAGGCCAGCAGTTGGTTTGGCTGTGGCTCAGGGATGTAGTGAACCCCTTGTCCTGGTGTCTAGGGCATACTCCCCTCATGGCTATGAGACAGCAAGTGTGAGTGGGGCACTGCAAGCACCTCCATTTGGGCACATGGCTTTCTCTCCTGCTGGGATGGGCAAGTGGGCTGGGGGTCAGGGGACCCTCTTGTGCAAGCATGCCCTGACTCTGTGGGTGTGGGCAGGAGTCCTGTGTCTATGAAAAGGTGGAGGTGGCCTTGTGGTTTGAGTATTGCCAGAGGTTATAAATAGCTATGTGTGTGAAGAAACAGAGAGCCTGGGAGGAGAGAGGACGGGGGAGAGACCCCTGGGTCTCCAGCTGGCAGCAGAGCCTTGGTGTGGTGTGGGAGGGTCACAGCATGTCACATGGGGCTCAGAACATAAAGCTCTTATAGGCATTGTGTGACGTGATGGGCTGGGGGCCACACAGGGGGCTTGTGTTGTAAGGGATTGTCATAGGCAGCAGGGAGGGGTATTGCTCTAATATAATAACTAATGTGCTAGACATTGTTCTAACCACTCTTAAAATGCACTAAGGTGTTTAGTTCTTGCAGTAACTCTAGGAGGTAGGTAGTTATTATCCCATTTCAGAGTGGTTAGGTAACTTGCTCAGGGTCACATAGCTGCAAAGTTTCAGAGCAGGATTTGAAGTCTAGCTAGCTCAAGGCTGGGTTGCCTGTAAGAGAATCTGGTCAGATGGGGGTCAGGAGACATTCTAAACCCTGGAGTCTTGACATTTGGAGCTCCCAGCCCTCTCTATTGGGTCCTTTCCATAGTAGTGGCCAGAGGGGTCCTGCCTGATCAGTGGCCCGGAGAAAGGAGTTGGGCTAGCCTTGGGCCACTCTCTCTGTTGGCCTCCCTTGTACAGACTCCTAACCCTGCACAGGGGGCTTGTTGCCTGTTGTCTGAATGGAGATGGAAACTCACCTGAGGATCCTAGGGCTTGGGCTGCAGGCTGAGCTAATCCCACCTTGTTGTCCCCTTCTTTCAAAATCTTGCTCTAGCCAGGATACCTATGCTGGAATCAAAAATAGGATTATTTTTGATTATGTTATTCATATGCCTTTCGGGTGTCTGAAATACTTCTTTAAATGACAGCAGCCAATCAGTAAGCGTGGTAAGTTAGGTGAAAGGGAAAGCACAAGGGCCAGTGGAAGTAGAATTTGCCTGGTCTCTGGGGAGAGGGAAGAGCTGAAATCCAAAGGAGAAAGTGGGAGCATCATGTAGCCAGAGACGGTAACTTGTGCAAAGCCCGGAAGCAGAGTGCTTTCAAGGGACTGGCAATGTGGTGTGGCTGCAGTCAGGGGAGAACCGCAGGGGAGTGCCCAGCTGCTCTGTCTGCAGCCCAGCGACTGGCCCCATAAGTCTCCAAGACCCCTACTGGAATTGTGCTGTGGATGCAGTGGGGCCCCAGGCTGGAGAGAGGAGACCCTGTGCCCTCTGGACAGGGTGCTTTGTATAGCCCAGCCACTGGATGCTGCTACAAGTAAGTGCCAACCTGGATCCTGGCCCTTGGTATTCTTGTTCAGCCTTTGTTTCCTACCCCCACCCCATCCCTTCAGGTTCTCCCCCTGGGCCTGATGAAGGGCCTGCCTGGGGGAAGCCAGTGTGTATGCCTGTGTGGGCCTCTCTGTAGACACTGAGGCCCTTCCTGTGTACCAGGCTGAGTCCCCACTGTCTGCCTGGTCTGAAGGCCATGATTTTTCCTTTTACAAGTGTCGGGGGTCTAGGCCCAATGGCATCGGGTGACCAGAGGTGTGACTGGGCACTCCTATTCTAATTGGGTGATGTTTTGAACCCTTGGGTCCTATCAGGATCCTTGAGATTTACTACTTGCCCCTGGCCAGGTTCCCCTGAAAGAAGCCTCCTATCACTGCAGGGAGATGCAGAAGGGTGGGGTCTGACCAGAGAATAGCAGTCCGGTGGTGGTGGCTCCTCCCACCTGACAGACCGGTCTTTGTCTTTCTCTCTGGGGTATACCCTGGGAATCAAGCTCCTTGCTCACCAAGGCCACTGATAGGGAGAGAGAGGAGGGTGAGGACTCTTGTGCTATGCTAGAACTCAGGGCATTTTGCCCTCTGCCAGAGTTGGGGTGGAGTCCCTTCTCCTGGCTGCTGGCTGTCCTTTTGCGGGATTGACTCTGACCCCTCCCTCCTCCTTCCTGGGGTGGGAATAATTGTAGGGGAGACCAGTGAGGAATGATGCCAGGTTACCGGCCCATAGGAGGGGTTTCCCACCAAGAAGTGCAGAGAGGACAGGTAGATGCTTGGTGCTGGTTCATTCTTGTGCATCTGCATAGAGTTCTGGCAGTCAGGTTGTAAATGCCACTCCTCCTGATGTAGGGCACTCCCAGACAGTCTCCTTGGGCATCTTCATGCTGTTTTCGATCACAGAGCTGTGGGGTCTCCAGGGGCTGTGGGGGCACATTTGGGGCTGGGACTGGGGATTGTTTTGTAGGGGGTGGTAAGGAAGGGGAATTTGGTGAATGCTTGAGGCCATGTTTGAAGGAAAGTGTTTGGGCAGTTGGAGGTAAGGAGGTCAAAGTGTTCAGCCACCTGGATGGCACTTCTGCAGGGGGTTAAGGGGGTCAGGAGTGGATGGGGTGTGTCTGGGGGTCATCAGAGACCAAGTCCAGATGGGAGGATGGTCTGTGATTCAGCTCAGTCACCAGCCAGCCCATCTCCTGCCTGAGGCACATATTTCCCTTGTCTTAGTCCATTTTTGTTTTGCAATAACAGAATACCTAAGATTAGGTAATTTATAAAGAAAAGAGGTTTATTTGACTCATGATTCTGGGGCAGCTGCATCTGATGCAGGCCTCAAGCTGCTTCCACTCATGCTGGAAGGTAGAAAGGGAGTTGGCGTGTGCAAGGATGTCACATGGTAAAAGAGGCAGAGAAAGTGCCAGGCTACTTTAAACTACTAGCTCTGGTGGAACTAGTAGAGGGACTTGATCTGTCCCCATGACCCAAACGCCTCTCATGAGGATCTACCTCCCAATCCTGCCATGTTGGGGATCAAATTTCAACATGAGTGTTGGAGGCACAAACATATCCAAACTATATCAGTTACTCTGGGAGTCTTACCCTGTGTTCTCTAGCCCTGCCGAGCGCCAAGTGTGGTTGCTGGGTGTGGAAAGGACATGGGAGGGTCTTTTCTTCGCTCCCAGTCTGGGTAGAGAGTTGTGGAGGACACACCAGCAGCAGGGTCTCTCTGGGGGACTGTGGTGAGCAGGGGTCAGGCAGAGACAGGAGCAGCCAGAGCAGTGGGAAGCTACTGCCCTTGTGGTTCATCTAAACGTGGTCCCTGAGGTCTGCATCAGAATCACCGGAGACAGATGGGTTTGGTAAAAAACGCAGATACTGCCTTCATTTTCATTGGCTAGGTCTGGACTGGTCTGGGAATACATATTTTTAACGAACACTGTTGTGCCACCCTACTCACTTCTGCACATGCAGTGACTCTGACGTGCACTGGGGTTTTGAGGGCCCCTTTTAAAATTCCTGCTATTGCAGAGGAGCATCCCCCATCCCCACCCAGGAGCCTTGTTGGTGCCCCTTTTTGTGTATCTGGCCATGAGTCTGGCTGGCTGTTTATCCTTTTTTCTGTGGTATTAGGTTGCCTGCTTCCTCTCACTCTTGCTTGGGCCTCATTGGGAAAATGAGATAAGGGCTGGTGCTGGCTGGCACACAGTGAGCTAAGAGGTGGTGTTTACATGGGTGGCATAGGGCACAGCATCGAATGCCTTGAGATCAGTGACCCTTGTGGTATTAGGTTGCCTGCTTCCTCTCACTCTTGCTTGGGCCTCATTGGGAAAATGAGATAGGGGCTGGTGCTGGCTGGCACACAGTGAGCTAAGAGGTGGTGTTTACATGGGTGGCATAGGGCACAGCATCGAATGCCTTGAGATCAGTGACCCTCACCCACCACCCAACTTCCCTCAGGGTGGCCTGGCCCCCAGGCTTGGGGTGGTGGTCCAGGAGCATTCTCAGCGTTCTCCCCTCTCTGGGGGCACAGGTTCTGGGCGCGGGGAGGCTGAGACGCGGGAGTGCATCTACTACAACGCCAATTGGGAGCTGGAGCGCACCAACCAGAGTGGCCTGGAGCGCTGCGAGGGCGAGCAGGACAAGCGGCTGCATTGCTACGCCTCCTGGCGCAACAGCTCCGGCACGATTGAGCTCGTCAAGAAGGGCTGCTGGCTGGACGACTTCAACTGCTATGACAGGTACTGCCGTGGCTTGCGCTGCCCTCCACTCGAGCCTGCCTGTGCTTGCTTCCACTACCAGCTGGGCTCTGCAGGCCTCAGGATGTCTGGGTGGGAGGGAGAAGACAAGAAAGGGGCTTTCGAGTTGATGCCCAGGATCCTAAGTCCTTCCGCAACCCTGTTTGCCTTGTTCCATCCCTGAGGAGGGGTGAGTGTTGACCCCAAGCTGTTCCTTCCTGGCTTCGGGTTATACTTTAGAGGAGGTGGGTTCACACTGTGCCCCTGATGTTGCCCATGACGTGCTCTGTCTGTGGGGAGGGTTTGGCTGGGCAGGCTGGGGAGTCTTGCATTCACTAGCTGAGGGATGTGTGGAAAATTCTGTGCCCCTAGGCAGGAGTGTGTGGCCACCGAGGAGAACCCCCAGGTGTACTTCTGCTGCTGTGAAGGCAACTTCTGCAACGAGCGCTTCACCCACTTGCCAGAGGCTGGGGGCCCAGAAGGTGAGGGGGCCAGTGGGAAGAGAGGCCCTGACCCAGCAGACCTGGGCCTCTCCTTGTCCTGGAGGGCTTGGCTCCTGAGTTGGGTGGGGAGTGGCTGCAGGGCCCTGTGGTCTGGCTCTAGAGGTGTGGGGGTGGGCGGGCTGTGTGACACAGGGCTCCGTGTGTCCCCCAGTCACGTACGAGCCACCCCCGACAGCCCCCACCCTGCTCACGGTGCTGGCTTACTCACTGCTGCCCATTGGGGGCCTCTCCCTCATCGTCCTGCTGGCTTTCTGGATGTACCGGCATCGCAAGCCTCCCTACGGCCATGTGGACATCCATGAGGTGAGACAGATGTGTTGTCCTGGGTCAGGGCAGGGATAGAGGTGTGGAGGCCAGGCCAGACCCTATTAAACCCTTGCTCTCTCCTAGGACCCTGGGCCACCACCCCCATCCCCTCTCGTGGGCCTGAAGCCACTGCAGCTACTGGAAATCAAGGCTCGGGGGCGATTTGGCTGTGTCTGGAAGGCCCGACTCATGAATGACTTTGTGGCTGTCAAGATCTTCCCACTCCAGGTGGGTGTTTGATGGGCTCCAGGTCATCCATACCTGCTGTGGCTTGAACTAGATCCTCTCCCAGCCTAGGGCAATCCAGGCCCTGAATACGTGGTGGGATAAGAGAAGTGGGCCTTATTGGGAGTGGTTACTCATGCTACACTTGGCTGGTCTGTGAATTTCATGCAACACGAAATTTTATCTTAGGATTAGGGTAGGGCTTTGCAAAACCTTGACCCACTCTGCTTTCCAGGGTTTTGTTTTTGACATCAGGTTCTTCTCAGAGGCCCTGGACAACAGACTACCTCAAGCAGTTGCCTGGGACAGTTAGCAAAGCCAGGCTGGGCTCTGCCTCTCATTTGTTGGGTGGTACTGGGCCACTCACTCCCTATCTCTGGACCTCAGTGGCCTTGTTTGTAAATTAAGGTGCTGGCCTTAAGTGATCTCAGGGCTCACTGTTGGCTTGATATTCCAGGGCCCAGCTCAGTCCCGGTCTTCTCCTGGGCTCCTTATAGAAGCTGAGGCTGGGAGGCCAGGGAATGGAGCATGGGGAATGGGGTGTGGGTGGCTGCATGAGGTCTGAGTTGCCTCCCCACCTCAGGACAAGCAGTCTTGGCAGAGTGAAAGGGAGATCTTCAGCACACCTGGCATGAAGCATGAGAACCTGCTGCAATTTATTGCCGCTGAGAAGCGAGGCTCCAACCTTGAAGTGGAGCTATGGCTTATCACGGCCTTCCATGACAAGGTGAGCCACGCCCATTAGAATGGATTCCAAGAGGAGGTGGAATGGTCCCCATGGTGGCCTTCCACAAATAAGGTGACCCCTACCCCGTGGTGATGTTCACAATGAGGTGACCACTGCCATAGGTGTGGACATAGGTGTCCCAACAACAGGAACCTTTGACCCTGGGATCAGTTCTTGTGATAAGAATAGTGACTTCATAATGACCACCCCTTGACCTTCAGCCCCCTCCTGGCCTCATGTGTCTTCCATATCGATTATAGCTCCCAGGAGAGGAGCCCAGCCATTGGCCCACTGAGACATCTCTCCCAGGGATGGGGTGGATCCTGTCCTATACCCACAACATGTGCTCACGTTCTGTACTGCCTTCTCTTAGGGCTCTCTCACGGATTACCTCAAGGGGAACATCATCACATGGAACGAACTGTGTCATGTGGCAGAGACGATGTCACGAGGCCTCTCATACCTGCACGAGGATGTGCCCTGGTGCCGTGGCGAGGGCCACAAGCCGTCTATTGCCCACAGGTACCAGGCTCAGCAGGTGCCCTCCCTGTGCTTGGTCTGGAGCTGCAGAGAGGGTTGGTGGGCCAGAGCAGGGTGTAGGGGTAGGGTGTCTCAACTTCCTAAACATGCTTAGTCTGCCTATGGTGTGTCAGAGGCAACTGGGCACAAAACCTGGCCTTCCACCTGTGTCCTGGGGAATGGCACGACCTCCCAAGCTGGTTTTCTGGTGCCCTCTAATGGCCACATGAGGAAGTGCTGACTCCATTACTTTGGTTGTCTCAGTTCTCAACATTTTTGGTTAGGACCTCTTTATATTCTTAAAAAGAACTTGCACATATGTGGGTTATATCTGCTGATATTTGCTGTATTAGAGCACACACATTTTGTTAGCTGTCAGAGTGATGACATCATATGTCATGTAGCCTCTGGAAAATGTGTCTCCATAATCCTGAGAGAATGAGCTTTAAAAAGGCAAATAATAGATTATTATGGAAATAATTTTGACCTTGTAGATCCCCTGAAACGGTCTCAGGGACTTCTTGGGGTGTTTGAACCACACCTGAAGAAACCACTGTGTTAACTTATCACCATTGTGCTTACTAAATGGCAAGCACTCCTCTAAACACTTGAGAAATACCAGCTCATTTAACCCTCAGTACCACCCTGTGAGATAGGTACTTTTTTCTCAGTCCTATCTGACAGATGAAGGGACAGTAGTGTGGAGAAGTTGAGTAACTTAGCCAAGGTCCCATAGCTAGTTTAGTCTGGTTCCCTGACTGTGAAGGAGGGGAATGAACCTCGAATTCCAGGGTTAAAGCTGAAGGGCCCCAAATGGAATAATAGTAATGATATAGAAGGTTGACTGTATAAAATTGCTATTTTATAGGTCAGGAGGTTGAATACTGACTTTTTGATATGGTTCAATTTAACATTAGTGCATAGTTAAGTGTGCCAGGCGTGGCTATAAGCATTGCGTTCATTACTTAGTTTAATTCTCACAACAAGCTGAGGCAGGCACTGGGGAAATTGAACACCCAGAGTACCAGTGCTTAGTAAGAGTTATAGCTGAGCAAGTTCACCAGTATCTTGCTTTACCCACCTTTGAGGTGGGCTCAAGCCCCTCAGGGGTCTGTGTAGGATTCTAGGCAAGGTAATTTTAAATTCCTGTTTTCATTTACATTCCAAATGTTATAAATTCTTCCCAGAAAACTCACATTCCAGGCCAGTGTGCCTGTCCCCAATCCCTCTGAAAATTTATGGGCTGGCCTTTGATACTGGGGACTAGGATAGGGTCTACCCAGCTGTTGGGGTAGGTGTTGTTTTGCTGATTATTGCGGAAGCCTTCCATCTGAGGTGCAGTGAGGGATTCTCACACCTATTGTGGACTCTTGAAGCTGCCTGCCTGTACCCTGTCATGGACTCTGCACTTCAGATAGGGTGGGATAGCTTCATCTGGGGGCAGTAGGGCACAGAGTCTAGTCTTGGGAACCAACGTAGGAGTTTGATCATGATATTCAGGACAAGGGCAGGTTGGATCATGTTATTCAGCTTCATCTCCTCCCATTTGTCTCCACAGGGACTTTAAAAGCAAGAATGTATTGCTAAAGAGTGACCTCACAGCCGTGTTGGCTGACTTTGGCCTGGCCGTTCGGTTTGAGCCAGGGAAACCTCCAGGGGATACCCATGGGCAGGTAATGAGCCTCCACAGGGGAAAAAGGGAGCTGACCCAGAGTGGACATGCCCTTCTGGTGCTCAGCTGGCGAGGTGCAGGGGCAAGAGATCACTGAGTGAGTTCAGAACTGTCTGAGAACTCAGAGAACAATGCTAGTGTTCTACAAGTGGGAAAACCAAGGTTTGGAGGACTGTATAGTTTCCCCAGGCCAGTCAGCTGAGAAACATTAGAGATTCCCTATTGGGGTTTTGGCCACTTGTAGTCTCAGTCTTTTTCTGTCTTTCTCTTTCAGTTGTAATTATTGAACAAGGTAAATAGAAAGAAATATACTAAGAATCCAAACCAAGAGATTAGAAAAAGTAATTAAAAATTAACCTAGCAAATCATCCTAAAATAATCACTGAATATTTTTAAGTGTTTTCTTTCCTTTGTTTTTGGTCTCAATCTCAGTGAAAGAGTATTCTGTATAGCTCTTTGTGGTACTGCTGTAGGAATTTGGTAGCAATTCCACTTTACGTTACTGCTGTCTTGAGTGTGTGATGTTTTTAAATCATCATGGAAGTATAATTCACGCTATGAGCTCTCACAACTCATCAGTGAATGTGGGAGTCAAGGCTTGCCATCACTGGCATCCTGCACTGAATGCCACCATTTCTCCCCTGTTGGTACATACAGGCCCCCCTGGCTAGGCTGTGTGTGCATTTGTGCATGCTGGATCACTGTAGCCCTTGTCTCCTCCTCTGTCCTCACGTAGGTGGGCACAAGACGGTACATGGCACCCGAGGTGCTTGAGGGAGCCATCAACTTCCAGAGAGATGCCTTCCTGCGCATTGACATGTATGCCATGGGGCTGGTGCTGTGGGAGCTTGTGTCTCGCTGCAAGGCTGCGGATGGTGAGTGGAATGGCAGCCCTGGGCATCCTGGGGGGTGGTTAAAGAGTAGTGGGACCTTGGGCCGATCCCACTGGGCTCGCTCTTACCTCTAGGACCTGTGGATGAGTACATGTTGCCCTTTGAGGAAGAGATTGGCCAGCACCCTTCATTGGAGGAGCTGCAGGAGGTGGTTGTGCACAAGAAGATGAGGCCTGCCATTAAGGATCACTGGCTGAAGCACCCGGTGAGGGGCCTGGGTGCAGGTGGCCCTGCAGGGGACAGAGAAGGGAACTCTCCATATGTGGCAGAACCTGAGATCAAGGGGGAGTGGGGCAAAGAGAAAGGCTGCCACATTCCCCAGACTCTAGAGGCTTCATGTAAGATTTTGTTTGAGTATCACTGCTCCAAGGCAAGCAGCTGCATCTTCCCTGGGAGTTGGCCTGGGTTTTTCCCCTCCCTTCCTATGTTGAGGTTCAGTGAATCTTTCCTTGGGGCTGTGGAGAGAGGCCAGTGGGCTCAGGATGGTGACTTCCAAGAGGTCAGTTTCCTGCGGTTCCATACTCCTGCAATTTCCCTCAGGCCCTTGATAGTTGACCTGCTGCTGTGGTTGGGGCTGCTGGGCTCTACTTGATCCCTGGGAACATCATCAAGTTTGCTGCCCTCATGCTTGTCCTCACTGAGGGGCCCTAACAAAGGTGTATTTCTCCTCTTCCCCACTGCTGTGCAGGGCCTGGCCCAGCTCTGTGTGACCATTGAGGAGTGCTGGGACCATGATGCAGAGGCTCGCCTGTCTGCAGGTTGCGTGGAGGAGCGGGTGTCCCTGATCCGGAGGTCGGTCAATGGCACTACCTCGGATTGTCTTGTCTCCCTGGTAACCTCTGTCACCAATGTGGACCTGCCCCCTAAAGAGTCAAGCATCTAAGCCCAGGACATGAGTGTCTCCCCAGACTCTGCATCTGAAGAAGAAAGGAAAAAAAGTTGTGTTTTGTTTTGGAAATCCCATAAAAACAACAAACACATAAAATGCAGCTGCTATTTTACCTTGACTTTTTATTATTATTATAATTATTATAATTATTATTATTAATATTATTTTTTGGATTGGATCAGTTTTTACCAGCATATTGCTCTACTGTATCGCAAACAGCGGACACGTCAGCAGGCGTTGAGGTGCTGAGCTATGAATGCAGAACCAGCGCCATGCTGAAGAGCCTCAGCCACCTCCTGTCCTTTGGGATTCATTTTTCCCACTTTCTCTTTATTTGTCGTCTCAGAATCTGTGACACAAAGAAACCCATCTCCTGTCTTAGGAAACTTAATGCTGCAAACTCTACCTAGAGGAACCTTTGAAGACTGTTAAATAAGAACATACCTTCCTCAAAAGAGGAGTTTCCTCTTCCCTTTACCCTCATACCCCTTCCTCCTCCCCTACCCTTTTATTTTGTTTTTGTCCCTTTTTAGACAGTGAGCTTAAGAAACAGCAGATGTGTCTTTCACGGATCTAACGGGTGTTGTCCTGACCGAGGAAAAACTGGGATGAGGATGTGGATGGTTTGGACTGGAGTTGGAAGGGGGGGACAGTGCTGGGGATAGGGTTTGGAACAGAGCTACACTGGACTCGGGCAGATTCGGAGCAACATCCTTTGCTATGGAGGCTACTTCTCAGGTAACCAGGAATCGAGGGGAAGGACCTTGTGGAGGCCGAGCATTAATGGCAAGAGCGGGATTTGGAGAAAGTCTGAGAGCAGGGGCAGCTCTCACCCACCTGCTGGCTCTGACCAGTTTCTTTCCATTAATTTGGGTGTGGGCATGGGATGAAACATTTTTCTGCCCTAATTTTAAGATTAGGTGAGCGTAGAAATCATCACAGTTTAATGAATACATTCTTCATGAGACACGATGCTGTAAATATCTTTAATGGAAGTAAAGTTGAAATACTTTGTTTCCTCTTGGAGCAGTTCAGGGAAATGCCCACAAGGGGTGCCCTGCCCAACAGGGGCAAGAGGCTATCCTGGGTGGGGCCTGCCAAGGCCTGCCTCTGGGGAGCCTGAGAGTCCTGCAGCTATGGTTCTGCCCCATGTGGTTACGTTATTGTCCTCTTTTTGTGGCTCGTGGACATGGCTTTCTCCAGATTCCTTAAAGTGGTGCATATTCTAAAAAACCGTTTTCCTATTATGCCATACCTTGCTCTAGTCAGTGAATGTTCTAATGCTGCTGTTTCAACATTTGAGTTCATTTTAATTTATGAAACACGCTAAATTTTTTTCAAATGAAACACACATACATCCACATATACACAAATGCTTTGTTATGTGGCTTCCGAGGTTTAAATTTTGAAAATTAAAAGAATTAAAACTTCACGACCACAGACCACCTCAAACCAGAAATACCTCAGAATTTTCTACTTGTGTAAGTTTTATTATATATTTTGTTAGTTGTGTTGTCTTGTAGTAAGTATATTTTAATGTAAGTTGGCTTTTATGAAAAGGAAGTTTAAAAGAAATAGAGAAAAAGAAAAAAGTTTTGTGTCTTCTAGGGAGTGCTACCATTTTTGTTTGATAACGGCCACATGTAAATAATTGTCATCAACTGTAGGTTGGCTCTCTGGGCCGAGTCTGGGCATTCATCACTCTTGTTTGTGAAGGCTTTTCCTTCTGGTTTCTCTAGACCGTTTTGTTTTAAAACAGCACATCCCTTAATCTTGAGGGTAAGTGAGTTGTTGGGCAATAGGGAGAGGTCGACTTGGCTGAGAACTGAAGAGGGCTCCCTCCTCTGTGTTATTTGGAGGTTCAGATGTTTCCCATAACTTGATTGGTTGACATTCAGAATGACAAGGAACCCCACTTCAGCTTGGTAAACTGTGGCCCTTAGACCCACATGAGGTCATTTTACTTGAGGATTAGTTTCTTTAGCAAATTAGCAGCAACGTTAGCAGAGGAGGTCTGTCGCTCCTCTGAATCCGCATGGTGGCTGGGGCAGTGTGCGAGCGCAGCGTGCCTGGGAGTGGCAGGCTCTGGCCCTTGGCCAGCCTGTAGTTCGCAGAGGAAAAGGGCACCGCGTTCTCTGGTCAGTAGCTGTGCACGGCGTCTGGGGCCTGTCACTAACAGTGGACTTTTCTCTGGGTGTTTGAGCACAGGGTGCTATGGGAGGCCAGTTTGAGTCCCCTCAGAGCTCAATTTTTTGCTTCATGGGTCAAAATGTGGGTTGTCCAGGATGTTACAGGGACAGGTGTTTTGTTTTTCTTTTGGTAAGCTATATTGTCTTTTTTTTCCTTTTTAAAAAAACTTTTATTTTGTGCTGTGGTATTTTTCTTCCCTCAGAATAATTTATAATGGCAAAACAGGCCTTACAGCAGTTGCTTTTCTGTTTCACTTATTTCTTTAAGAAGCTTTAAAATATTTATTGAAAAGTGCCATATCTAATTTCTTTAGCTTTCTCCTCAGGCCTTGCAGGCATCTCTACTTTTCACCCTCAAAAGAAACAAATAAATCACTAACAAATATAGTTAATTTATTGCAGAAATGGTCAGATCACTGATCCTACCCAGTGCTGAACACTAAACCCCAGCTTCCCTGTTTTGGTTGCATGTTTTTTTCTGTGTGCTGAAATTCTTGTGAGAAATTCTGGCCTGGCTGAGGGAGGGTTGAGTTGTGGCTCTGGTGTGGGACTGAAGGTCAGGACGTGGTACAGACAGGGTGGCCTCCCTCTTTGCCTACCCTGTGCCCAGCTGCTGTAGCATCCCTGTGGGGCCTTGCCATTGGAATGGAGTGTCAGGAGATGTTTGGTATGGCCGGGGAGAGGGAGAGTCTGGTGGGGAGGGGGGTCTGTGCTAGTTCTTTGGGTTTCAGGCTGTCTTTCCATCATTCTGTGGTGTTAAGTGCACCATCAGGTGGTACACCTGGTTGCTAATGGGTAGAGGAAGGGGGGTGATCACCTTCCAGGACATGGCTCTGGGAGCCTGGGTGGGCCTTTTGCCCTAGGTAAAGTATTTTGTTTGCTATCATGTGTTCTTTGAGGAGTGAGCCATCTAGAGCCCTGGTTTGTGTTCATTGGGTCATAGGGCTTCTGCCTGTGCTCTTCTCCACAGAGATTTCGTGGGAATTCCACTTCTGGGGAGCTCAGGTAACTGCTACCTGTTTTTCCTTTTTGGCCCCAAGCTCTCTGTGGAAAACTGCAGGAATGGGGCCTGCATCACTTTCCCTCCTCATGGGAGGGACCGTCTCATGGGAGGTGGGGGCAAGTCGGGGGAGAGAAGCAGCCAAGGATCCTTGCTCTTTCCCTTCTAGTGTGCTGTCATCCAAGCAGGCTCCTGGCTGTGGGGATGGGCATGGGGGAAGAATGTTCTGTTTGAAAATACCCATGATAACTGTGGGGAGTCATTCCTAGCCAGAGAAATCCAGGAATGAGCAGGAGGAGGAAGCAAGTGAGGACAGAGGCCACCATGTTTCAGTGTCCTGAAGAGGGCTCTCAGTGACGGGGGTTCCTGGTCTGGCATGAGCTGGGTTTTCTGTCAGATCATTGGTCCCTAGCAGGAGTCCTCCTTTGTATGAATTACTCAGGGGCAGGGGCTGAGCATGGGCCATTCTTGGGAGAAAGGGACACCTGGAAGTGAGGAAAAGTGGTGAGCATCATCAGCCTTTGTTGTCCAGCATAGCCTTCCTGACCTGTCAGCTCTGGGTCCAGGCTCAGATGGATCAGTCCGGCCTGGGGAGGGTTTCCCTGTGTGTGCCAGCTTCTTCTGACTGAATTCATCTTGTCTGGACTTAAGGGCATTTGTGCAGAACAAGAAGGACATTGTCTGGCCTTGAACATCTTCAGGAGGCTAGAGCCTCCTGTTCACATATTCTCAGCAAAGGGAAAGGTCTCTCATCTGCAGGCCACCAAGATGGTTCTTGCATTGCCCCAAGAAACTTGGAAAGCAAAGCACTTGATCCTGCAGTTCTGCTCTGTCACCTTTCTCTGCAGTTGGCCACACTCTTGTTCCCTCTATCCTGTGTTTGGACTGTGTGTGGGTTCTTTCTTGGTGGCAAGCCCAGCAATGTATTGAATGTCTTTCATGTGCTGTGGGTGGCTCAAAAAGCCTATCATGTGGCTTTTATACTCTGACCCATGAGGGCAGAGAGGTGGCTGTCCCATCCAGCATGGGAGGATTGGATAGCTCTCTTGCAAACAGAATTTTGCCTTTATTGGATTTGCCGTTTTTGTTTTTTTAAATAATAGAGTAAGCATGAGTTTGTAAGTTTTTAGAATTGGTATTATAAGTTGAACAGCCAGTAATTCTCAAGAACTTGGCTCATTAGAAAAATATCTAAATTGGATAGCAATTTCCAAGAGTTAACTCAGTTTGATCTTCAGTCTCAGTTATTTCGGCTTGTTGGGTTTTGTTTGTTTGGCAGCTGGCCAGTACAGGGATCTGAACCCTTGACCTTGGTGTTAAGAGGCTGCATTCTAACCGTCTTCGCTATCTCACCAGCTCCCTGTTGGGTTTTTGATTGCACACCTTTGAAGAGATGGCCAGGCCTGGTTCACATTTCAGGGGTATTGGACCACACCTTTCCAAGAAGTGCAATGAATCTTCTCACCTATCCCCCATTTTGAGGCAGCAGCCAGAAAGGGAAGTGGGCAAGGTAGCTTTTTCCCCTTCTCACTTGGGTGACATGAATTCTCTTTGGTCAGTGGCTGTTTGCAAAAGCTAAACTAATAAAATACTCAGCAGCTAATGTGTGTAACCTAGGAGTGACGAGTTGAAGTCTCTATCAGCAGTGATGTTTTAGATAAACAGGCTCAGTACTTCAGTTGATGAACTATATATATCTTTCCAGTCTAGATTTGTAAATATTTAATGAAGTCAGGGTTACATGCATAGTTCTTTAAGATTCTGGGTAGTTGATTTGTAACCAGTAGTCTACCTATGAATGTATCCCAAACCTTTAGAAGGCTTGGAAAAGTTTTTTGAGATAATGA